TCAAGACAGAACATTAGCTTTGTGTGTTTGTAAACCGATATACCAAAGTTGTTTTGTTCAAGTTAGACCAATGCTTTTTTGTGACGGTAATGCCCGGAACAGCATACCATCACCTATTTTTCCAGCCCACAGAAAACGAATGGTATTTCCCTCATGCGTACCATCACTTGTTTTCCTGGGGAGGCTTGGCTCCTGATGGAAGCCTGCTTGGGACATGTGGCAGGTTTTTTTTCTGGCTCCCAACGTGGTGCTGTGGCTCTTAAAGGGGCCGCAACCTCATTTCGGCCCCCAGCACTTTTTTTTCTCATCAGGTTTGCCCCAGAGTACCGGCACCTTATTTCTTACAAAACAAATTCTGGGTTACACAATAAGAACTGATCATTCCTGTCTGTGGGTGATGTTCCTTTGAGGGAGTTCATAATGCAGTTAGGCAACTTCAGTATTTTGGATACAAACAGAGGATTTGTTATTGGAATTGGTCTGATATCTGCCGAGCTGGGTGTGTGCAGGCATAGGTTCATTAACATCTGGAGCAGAAGTTCCCCGTCATGCCGTGCTTCTATGTTTTCCTGGTCCCAGAGTTCGGTGCAGTTCTTGCTTTGGAATCTCTGTTCTCCATTCTATATGCTATTGGAAATAATGCCTTCTTGTCCCATCTTTGATGCACATGAGGTTAGGGGAATTTCCTTAATCACCCTCATCCGGAGGGGTGTAGGCATGCCTTTCTCTGCCTTTTCATAAATCTTCTAATACTCTTAGGTTCAAGTAGAGGCTAGGGAGAGGGAGGCCTTTTGTGAGTCAGACATCCTGAACACTGCACCCCTGGCTCCCCAAGAACACAGAGCTGATTGGTAACACTGCTCTTAGAAGTAACATTGTTAAATTAAAAAATCATACACTGAAAAATAATGATCTAATCAGTGGAAGGCAAAGGGAAGAGGTGTACTCTAGAATATAAGCCATCGTAAGTCACTTTGCCCCAGTCAATTTTCTTTTTGTTGCCTGTTTTCCAAGTAGTGAAACTGGGATAATACTAACCCACTTTACAGAAAGGTGGTATATATATCTGCTAATACCTTAGGGCTGATCCTATTCCCTTATTACGTCATTTTGTCAAATCCACTAAGAAAATTCAGAAAGATCCGTGGGAAATAGTATATTTTGGAACCATTAGTGGACAGTCACAGAGAAAGTATTTTAAAAAATTATAAAAATAGAAGCAAATTATTCAAATGATATTAATCTCAACTAGTTTACTTTCCCCCATTTACCCTGAAGTAAATGGAGTTGATCCCACTGGCACCCTTGTTTTAAATCACAGAAAAACATTTGCCATTCTCTAGTCTTGTGGTTTTTATCGCATTTAATAACTGTGGTGGGTGGTCTTAGCATGTTTTCCTTCCTTTTGCTGTCATCTTAAATGAATGTTTAGAGGCTATTGTAAGTTTCATATTTTACACCATAAAGTAAAAGTTGTAAAGCATCAGCTAAGCACATTCATTTTGGATCATGGGAAGAAAAAGTAAAAAAAAAAAATGTTTTGGCACTGGAATCTTCAACCCTGACATATTTTGGGAAAACAATCAATCTTTCTCTCTAAATTACATTCCCTTCCTGAACTATGGTCATGACCTAATGTTACCTTGAATCATCATTACAGATGGGACTAAGTTAAAGTTGGGATCAGAATCCAGCTCCAGATGGTTTTTGTATATACTCCAGGAAAAGCTAGAGTTTGAGTCTTGAGTTTCAATTGTAGTTCCAAACTTCCTCCAAATTCTAGGATGTTTAGCTATATGGGAGGAAAAGAGGGCCCGTCTAAACTCAAAGGAGTGTAGAGTCTGGGTGATGGTAAACAACATCCAACTGCATTCTTTACGGAAAAATATAAGGAGCAGAGAATTTGAATTTCATGTATGTATTATATTTTCCCAGAATTCAGTCAAGTGATTAATTCATTTTTATCCATTGTATTGAGGTACATAACAGAGTTACTTATGTAGAGTGTAATACCTTTTGTGTTAAAAAAAAAATCATCTCTCATTTTTAGAAACTCTAATGATGTTTTACTACCAGCTTCCTGAGCTCTCCAGCATGTCTTCTCCAAATTGAAGTCCCCCTTAACAACACAGTTTCTCTTTCTGAACATTACAGACAGTTGCTTAAGGAGTAACTTGTCCCATTTTCAAGTTAGAGTTGATGGTCTATTACAGACTCCAGATGGTATCATCTCCTGGACTTTATTAGTTAGGCATTCAGGATCCTGTGAGTCTGAGTTACTAACAATGATGAAATGAGTGATGGTATCTCTAATGCAGGCTGTCACTTCCACACATCTTTTACCTACACTGTCATCCCCATACAGATGTTAACATTCCAATCACACAAAGTGAGCAGCAGGTTTCTGTAATGCCAATTACAATTATTTCAAATTTTTCTCATCAATGAGAAATTCCTGTTTCCTTTACTTGTTATACTGACTCCAAGCATAGCTATATAAGCAAGTGGTTTTTTTTCTCGTCACAATCTTTGCCACCTTGGTTCTATTTATTTATGACATATTAAGTTTGAGCATGTAGTGTTGTACTACCTCTTATGCACCCTTCAAATTCTGCTCCAGTTAGTCTTCAGATGAGATTAGCCCCTTCCCCCATCAGATTCAGATCCCCGCTCCCTCTACAATGTGGGTCTTTGTAAGTTACTTGGAACAGAGATCAATTTCAACCTTTGCAACTCCACTGACTTTAATGGAGCCACATCAGGAATGAATTTGACACAGACATTTCCATTTGGGAACTGAGAGCAACACTGTTCCTCTTCAAGTCCTTCATCAAACCTTATTTTTTCCATCATCCATACACTAAACTGCAGCCTGATATGAGCTGGGCAGATGACTGCTGTTATCACTACTACTGTATGGCTTAGAATAGACTGCTTTCTTTTACTGATTTATACCCCTGTATCAACTCCCCCTCCTGCACCTGCTTGTTTATCTCATCCAGCTATGTCATGTCTTCTCTTTAGGAATCTATGTTTTTGGGAGAGAGATTGTTCATTATATGTCTGTACAGCACTAAGCAAAATAATAATAATAATAATAATAGTTATTATTTATTCACTGGTAAAAGTCATTGTTACTGTTTAATGAGCCCATAGCTTTACAAGATGAACCAAACATTTACATATGTGAAGAAACAACGATAAAACAAACATGTTTGTTTATCCAGCCTGGTATTTAAAAAAAAAATAAACACAAACATGAACAATAATGTCTGATTATGTGAACACCAGGAGTGGTTGTTCCCCAAATGACCTCATTAAGTCATTAACTAGATATTGTGAAATGATGTTGAAAAGATTTGAAAAGACTGCATGGCTTCTCACTGCATTATTTAGTCTGTGAGTAAGTGCTGCTCTTAAGTATGTTTGTGTATCTCCCAGATTCCGTGTTTGACTTGCTGGCTGACCTACAAGACTACCTTAGGCTGTGCCTCCTCTACACACCCCTGGCAGCAACAGGTAGGCTACATGTAGCTACATGCCAAAGTGAACAACAGGCTGCATCTGTTCTGCAAGCTACTTTGTGTCAGTAAAAGACTCTGGTGGAGGGAGACTGTGGGAAAAGGCTTCAGCAGCTCCCTGCTACTTGATTCTTTCTTCTCTGCAGTGAAGAAAGGCTCTGGCAGAGGAAGGCAGCATCACCTGTTCCTGGGCCTTTTCCCACAGCAGGCGTCTTTTTGTTTTATGGGGAAAGTTTCAAGCAACTTGAAGCTGATGAAGCTCTTCCTCATTGCCTCCCTACTGCCAGAGTCTTTCCCAATGGGAGGGAAAGGCTCCAACCATGGGGAGGTAACAGAATATTAAACTGCTAAAAATAGCAATCTAGATGGGGAGGCACAGAGTGGGTAAGTGGACACTGTGTAGCTGTCTACTTGGGTGCATACCTACAACTTCCAGGCATGTCTCCTCTACTTGCCTAAGCCATGCCGCAGTATCTCACATTAGTTGCTATTTTACCTGTGCAGAGGGGCTGCCTATGTAGGTAACTGTGCAGAAGCATGCTGTATGGAGGCACCCAGAGAGAGACAGATGCTAAAAGTGGTTGATCAGAGTATTTTTATTTAGCGTTTTTTAGAGAATGTTGAGTTTGGACTAGAAGCAGTGAGGATATTTACTAGTTATTTCTAAGGATGTTAAATATCAGTTAATTGAATAGTTGAGTAACCTCATGAATTCTTATTGGTTAGCCGACTATTCTATAGTCCCCAGGGGCAGGGCAGCAGCCAGTGTGCTCTAGCTTCACTCCTGAGAAGACCCCTGCCACTCTGCACTGCTGCCTCTGTATCAGAGACAGCAGCAAGGGGTGCCAGGTGGGAGCTGGTCCACAAGGGGAGCCAGTTTAAAAACCAGCTCCCTTTGTGGACCTGCTGCCTGTTGCCCTTTGCTGCTGCCTCTAATAAAGAGGCAGTAGCACAGGGTGGCAGCAGGCCCTGTCTGCCTGGCGCAAACCAGAACTGAACTGAGCTGGGCTGGGCTGGGCTGTCTGCCCACCCAGTTCCTAATACACTTTAAATGCAGAGCTGCAGTGGAGGTAGGTCCCAGATCTGTCGCAAGCCAGCACTGAGCTAGCCAGCCTGCTAAAAAAATTACTGGCACGTGGGGAGGTGGGGTAGAAATGCATGTAGTATATAGCATTCATCTGTAAGCTTTTGCTTATTGGTTAATCAGTTAATTTACTATACTTTTACATCCCTAGTTATTTCCCAGCTTATCCAGGTGTTCTGCCCACTGATTTGGAGACACAGACACAAGGTTGTGAGGGGGAGACCATTGCTGTGACTTAAGCCATATATGAAACAGACTGCTTGTGAAGTTGGTATTGCTCAATATGAGAAAGGATTGGCCCTGGGAAAACTGGGAGGGGAACAGGAAGTGAATAACTTGCTGAAGGTACACAAAGGCAGATAGCAAGAGGCCAGCTGGCATTGGAAGGTAAATAGCAACCAAGTGCATCCAACCAATGAGAGAGCTTGATCTGAGTGAAGCTGGGTACTAAAGTCATGTAACAAAGACAGCAGCTAGTGAATGTAAACTTTAAAAAAAAAGTGAATGGGAGTCTTGTAAAAATGGAAACTCTGAGCCTCCTAACAGATTCTAACAAGTGAGGAGAAACCGAAAGAAAGAACTGCTACAAGGAAGGGAGGCTGACAGGCCCCATCCATTCTGGTCTGAACGGTATGCATTCTCAGATGCATGGATGAAGAGCACAAGGATTATATAAGTATGTTCTTTTTAAATGCTTTTGGCCTAGGAAAAATGGAGCTAGAATAGGTGGGTGGCCCCAATAGGTGTGTGGCTTTCACTAGCATAGTGGAAGGACTGAGACCTCCAACCCCTTGGTAATGTAGGAGGGGAGGGAACAGGGTGCTGGTTGGGGGAGGAGTGGGAAGGAGTCACATGGGAGGTCATGTCTCCTTCTCTTTCGCTGGTGCACCTCCCCAGGCTGGGTGTGATGTACTAACACACCTAATGGTAATGAGACCAAGTACAGAGAAAGACAATGAGGGAGCTCTACATCCTTAGCTGAGAGCCAGATGGCTTTTAGCACAAGCTGCAGAGGCTCATGCACTAAGCTCCAGAGGTTCCAGGTTCAGTTCTGCCTGTCAGCGTTACACTGGTTTCTCCAGCATGTTCGGCTGCTCTTCCCTAGTTTGTAAGCCCAGGGCCACTCACAGATGCTTTCCAATGCAACGCAGCAGCAGCCTTGTAGAGTGCCTGGCCGTGATGGTAGCAGGCTGCATCCCGCCTGAGCTTGGCGTCCGGAACTAAGGGCACATCTATCAGATAAAGGCAGCAAGGGGGGGAGCAAGAGCTGGTGCTGGGATAGCTTATCGGATAGTCAACTGGTCCCTCAACTAGTCGCTTCCCCTCTGGCTGCCTCTATCTGATAGAGGCAGCTGGAGTGTGGGGAGCAGGAGCCAGTGCTGCGGGAAGCCCACTTAAAAGCAGCACCTTCTCCCTCGCACTGTTCCCTCAGCACTGTCTCCATGACGGGCAGAGGGGGTAGGTGGATTGGGCATGAGCCGGAAATCAGCTGATTCCCATCTCAAACCCAGTTCCAAATGCTGCATCTCTGCTTTTTAAATAAGCAGAAGCACAGCGGGGAGGACCTGGCATGAGCTGGGCCAGCTGATTCCTGGCTGGTGCTGGGTCCCCCTGCTTCCCTCCAGCCTTTTTACATTTAAAATGTAAAATCAGCTTTCACTGGGCTCCCCATGGTGTGCTTCAGCCTTTTAAATGTATTAAGAACCTGATAGTTCTTCATACGTTTCAAAGGCAGAGGAGCAGTGGGGTTAGCTCACAATCTGGGAGCTAACCCTACTGCAGTTCCCCCGCTTATCGACTAATCGATTACTAAATTTAACATCCCTATCCAGAACAGCAACTGAGTGAGTCAGAGCATGCCCCTGCTCTGCCTCCCAGCTCCAGCAGCCAAATCTCCCTGCTCCCCTGCTCCGCCTCCCAGTCCTGGCAGAGTCCACTGGTATGCTCATAGTCGGCTTCTATCCCCCAAAGCTGGCCTGGGCAGGATTCTGGAGACAGAAGCCAACCCTGAACATGCCAGAGCGGGGGGAGGGAGAGGGGGCTCTGGGACACTCGGTTACTAGTTGTGGGCGGGGGCGGGGGGAGTCTGCTGCTGCTGCTGTTGCAGCCAAGTGCTCTTCCTGGCTAGAAGAGGCTCTGGTTGTACCATCCTTCTCTTCTGGCTCTGGCCCTACCGTCCTCCTCTTCTCTTCTAGCTCTGGCCCCACCCCTTTCTCTCCCCAACTAGGCCAGGTGCTGGAGGCTCAGATGGTCCTTTGGAGGAGAGGGACCTGGCCCTTGGTGCACCTCCCATGAATCACCCCCATGCTTGGTTGAGGTCACTGGCCCAGATGCTTCTGTAAACTAATGTAGCACCACTTAAGTCAATGGAACCATTGGTGTTTTACATTAGCTGAGACACAAAAACCCTCTGAGACAAAAACAAATATTAATTGAGAAGAACCTAGAAGTAGTTATGCTGAAAGAAACTTTGGAATGATAGTGGATAGAAAATTGCACGAGTTTACAATGAGATAGTAAACAAATTGGCTAGTGTTGTTTTGGCCCACATGTGGAGTCATGATGTCATGGAGCAGGGATCTGAAAGACCTTCTTCAAATGGTTCTGGTGAGCACTAAATTCAGTCCTGGTTGCCTCATTATAAAATATAGGAAGGAAGACATTTAAGAAGGAAAACATTTGAATGGGCTACGGAGATAGATTTACTGGTAAAGATTAAAAAGTGAAACATTTATAGAAGCCAGAATCTTCTTTTAGCTAATCCAGTGAAACGCAGAATACCTCCACTAAAGTCAGTGGAATTCTCTTGATAGACATCATTTTAAGAGAGATCATATTTTTAGCGCCTTTGTCAATTATTACTGCTACTGGGATGGGGAAGAGATCGTATCAGCTGTAATTTAAAAATATAAATAAGGCGGCAAAGGCATCATTTTGGGTGGTGAATGGAGAAATGTGCAAAAATAACCAGACTGAATATGGGTAGAGAGATCTGTTGGCAGTGGAATATTCACCCAAGGCAAGTGATGAAAGTTCTGTTACCTGACCCATTTCTAAACTGATCAGGACAGAGCCCTAGAAGATGCACTTTAGGGAACATTCTGTGTTTGCTGAGGAAGATGCAAATAGACCTGATCAGGGCCATCCCCACTGATAGACAAAACATACAGCCAAGTAGGGCAACACAAAATTTGGGGCATCAGATTGCCCTGAATTTTATGGTGCCCTATGCAGCCACTAGGGATGTAAAATTCCATTTAATCAGTTAACTGGTTAAATGTTTAACTGATTAACCAATTAAACAGGATCATTGGGGGGAACTCCAGCTAGACATGTCCCTGTCTGTGATGTGGTGGGGATGGCTGGAGCAACCCCCAGCCCCACAGGGCTCTTGATTCCTGGCCCTGCGGGACTGCTGGCCCTTTTAAGGCTTTCAGCTGCTGGCCCCAGCCTGCAGCATGTGGGTCTGGCCGGACTGGAGCAGCACCCTCCTCCCCACCCTCCGTCCATGATGTGCCATGGGCGAAGAAGTGCTCCCAGGCACTGGTTTCCTGGTTACCAGAAGCATCGCCCATTCACATCTCTAGCAGCCTCATGCTGTCTATGGGCACCAGCCACCCTCTGGCCCATCTCCTGCTGCGCCCCCAGCTCAGCACCAGTCTGGCAGACCCTTACCCCAGTCCCTTCCCTCCACCAGGGCTCAGAGCCCAGCTCTCGCTCACGAGGTAGAGGTGAGCACCCATCGCAGGCTGGAGGACTGAGAGTCAGGCGGTAAAGAGAAGCAGCTGCCTGCTCCCACTTTAGATCCTCCAGCCCACGCCTCCTTCCTGGCACTGCTCCAGGATGCCAACTCTCCTGGACCGGACAGACATAATTAGAGTAAATGCCACCTGGTCCATCGGGTCCGGCAGAGT